CTCAGTGTAGTTAAGGCGATTTACAAAATATTCGAATACTTTTATTTGGAATTAGCATGATTTTGTCAGCATATTATGTCCAAACAAGATCTTTAAATGCTATAATTTTTTGTGCTCAAGGTTTTTATAATATTTAAAGAAACTTTTCTTTTTTTATATATAATTTTCAAAACCTTTTTACTACCCCTAATAGTGTATCTAAAGAGCACTAATTTGGAGTCTTTAGATCAATTCCGCTCATCTGCATTAATATGAATTTAGTTAAAAATTTTTGAATAAGTTTCTTAATTTACTACTTATCCTAGTTCTAATCCGTTCTGACGTATATTAACTATATATAGTTGTCAAAGCACAATATTTCTATCAATTTCCACAAAAAATACTGGAATTCCGACCAAGAAAGAGCTTATAATTATGGAAAATTGCCAATAAACGATCAGAACAGATCATATTGTTAAACTATAATGTTCATTTCACCAAAAAAACTTTTTAATATAAAATCTTATTTAAATTTGGACGAGCAATCGTGATTTTAAGATAATTTTTTTTTAAAAAAAAGAATCATCAGTCTGGATTTTTTCGCAACAAACATTTATATTTTATGATATCGCAAAATTTATCATTTTAAGTTTTTTTGTCTTTTCGTAATTCACTGACCAGACCATTTAACGGAAAAATGTCGCAGTCAACAAAATATCATACAGACGCTCTATTATTTTAAAAGAGCCTTAACTACACCGAGTGGTAGAAAAGACTTTGATGCTATTACACTAAACAGTTTAAAGTCATCAATAGATGGTGTTTGACTAAAGTCGTTATTATTACTCATTTTAATTAGATGTTTTGCATATGTTTTACAGCGTTTTGGTTTGTTTACTCGAAATTTTTTGTTCTATATATTCTTGTGTATATATTTTGCGTAACAAATGTTGAGTTTCGAAAACCGTGTATTGTTCATTTTGTATTCAACAAAAACTTTACGAAAAAACGCCATAACTCTAGTAAACGCATATAGTTTTAACTTACGTTACACAAATTTAAAATTAAACTAAGCAATGTAAAAACGTACATTTAAGTTAAAAACATTTAATATTCTTATATTATTAAAAAAGTTTTTCAACTATATTTTAGAAAGAAAATAAACTTTATCATGTTAACTTACGTTACATGAAAATTGCAAAAGTTCTTTCGTTATTTTCTTGAAATATATATTTTTTTTAAAGTATAAAATCTGACTAACATCAAATTGAACATCCATTGAATTTCAAAAAAAAATTGAAGCTCCATTTTCACACTAAATTAATTCGGATTATGCAAATAAATTCACGGTAAAATAACATTTTACAATGATACTTTTTTTTATGATGCAAAAATGAGTAAAACCGTAACTTTCGGAAGCATAAAAATGACCTAAATTAATTAATTTTAGTAATAATGGTATATTTTAAATAAACTTTTCTTCCAATTGCTCGTTGTTAGTCAAAGTATTTATCTAATGTCATAGTTATTCAATTAAAACATACTGGAACTAAATTTCATAAGGTATTTATCTATATTAATAACTAAATTGACAGCGACATTAATCCCTTATGTTCGCCAAAATAAATATCAGCCTTAGTTAAATTTTTTGGGTGTTTGATATTTTTGAAAATTGAATTTTATAAAAAGTAATATATATAAAGTTATAAAAGTCTTGTGAAAACTGTATTTTCTTTTTAAATCTAAGTAAATATTTAAAACTTTCATTTGATTTACAAGAAAGGTTTCTTTGAGTTGAAATGAGCTTTAGGAATATAAGAAAAAAACCTGCATTAAGAAGGCAAAGGAAAACTAAAAGATTTATTGAAGGTAGTGAAACTGTCAATCCGAAAAAAAAAGTTTTATTTGGATCAACAGTTAACATATTAGCCTCGTAATGCTTTTTGCAAACAAACGATAACTTTTTTTTTTTTTATTTGGAACCTTGTTATTAACTACTATATGGATGGTTAAGCGCTAAACCTGGCTATACAACAAAGTTGAAAAAAATGAGTTTATGTTAAAAAAAGATTTATATAGTGTTTTTTTGCTAACACCAGTATACTACATGGCCTACTATAATTACACGGCCGGATATCTTGCTTTTCGCAGCGAAAAATTAGAAGGGTAACTTTTCAAAACATAAATATATCGTATAGCAATTAAAACTAAAATCTTTATACGGATTTTTGTTTACAGAAGTGTGTATATAATATAAAATTTGTTTGACAAATATAACTAAAGTCTCAAAAATTAGACATTTTCTTTTGTCTGAATATAATGTTTCTAAAAACCTAAGAATAAGAGAATATTATATTGTACTTTGTTCAGCAATATAAAATTGTAATAATTTTATTAATAATAAAATATTTAAATTTGTAATGACTTAATTAATTTAAAGATGTACCTCATATTGTGTATATATATATATATATATATATATATATATATATATATATATATATATATATACATACATACATACATACATACATACATACATACATACATACATACATACATACATACATACATACATACATACATACATACATACATACATACATATATATACACATATATTTCTCATAATAAAAACTCAATAATGTTAACAAGATATATAAAATGATAAACAAAAACCTAACAATAAAGGAAGAGTATACATTAAAAGTAAAATAGTTCAGCTGTATAATTTAGCATTAGCTACTTCAATTCAGTTCAGCTTTATTGATTATTAATTTAACTAGTTCAGCTTTAATCTTTTTCTCTGTCTGTATTTAAAATCCTTTACACTGTTTTTTCGAATTTCAACAGAAAAGTGTTTCTGCTCATTGTTAAAATAAATATTTACAACAACGCGATTTGCAAATTTTACACCAATAATTTGATGTTCATCGCATAAAAATGAAGAAGCACAATCATTTAATCTAAGTACCCGTTCTCCAGCATATCGATCAGAAAGTGTTGAGTCTCTTATAAGCAAAATGGCAGTATCTAATATTGCAAATGCTTTGGCAACATAATGTGTAAGATCAATAGCTGGTAAAATCAATTCACCACGAGAAAGTTTTCTAAATATTGACATTGTAGTTCACCAGATTCAGCTAATAGAAAAGTTTTGCAAATACCACGTTTGATCTTTTTATTAAACTTTTTAACCACATAACCAGAAATAACTGTAGCAACTTCAAAGCTCTCTGAATCTAAACTGCATTTTTCAATATCTGGTAAAATTTCTTGCAATTTATCATTAAATAATTTAAGTAAAGATATATTACAACTCTCTTTTCTAACATCTTCCTCCCAGATATTGACTGACTCTTTAAGTTAAGTTTTCAAAGCTAATATGCACTCAGATGTTTCAAGCTCACGCAAACCAATTAAAAATCTACCACCACTCATTTGACGATACTTTGAAAATCTTAGTTCTAATGGATCAGTTTGCAAGCGTGATACTAAAAAATAATGATACCCTTCTTGAATTAAATCATCAATAAGTGAAGCAAAACATCTTAAAGTGGTCCTTAACGCTTCTGATGTTTGTTTACTTAATGTAAACTTTTGAGAGTCGGAAACTTGAGATAGTTGCCAATTCTCAATCCATTCGGCTAGTTTCCTCAAAAATAAAGGTTTTATGTCACCCATAACAGCTGCATTTCCAATACAAAAATTGTTGTTATATTTTTGCTTACTGTTACTTATTGTCCACCATATATTTATCAACTTTAAAAAGCTTGAGGCATCAGCCCTATCTGGAAAATAACTTTCAATAGCTGCAGAAGTTGTAGGATCAAATATTGCAAGAGCAAGTGGTATACTTTGTTTATTATTTCCTGGATGAAGTGATTTGTAAGATAATTTGAAACCTTTTTTTAAATTTGATTGAAGTAATTGGTCTTTATCATATACATCATGAAGTAACTTCCATGATATTTCACCAGCACATGCTGGTGAAATATCATGGAACTTACTAACATCATGAAACAGATCAAAATGAAAAGCAGGGAGTATAAAACGTTTAGAATTCAGTAAATTGTTTCGTATTTTTTTTGAGAAGACGGACAGCATCAAATAATAAATATATTATTCTATCTTTTTTTGTAGGATGAGTAATACTACTAACATGGTTGGTATTTTTATATTTTTGCATCAAATGTGAAAAAGCAGAAACATTAGTAGAATGATTATCAGAAATTACACCACGAACATGAAAACCATTCTCTTGTAGAGATGTAATGCACTCATCAACATGGTCAGCTAGCAACTTACCCTCAATTTTTACTTCTGGTATAGCTTTTATAACAAAATTAAACTTTTTTTTCAAAGTAGCAATCATGAAGGTCATTACACCTTTAAATAAAATTCCCTTATTATCTACTCCTATCATTCTACCACCTTGATATTGCGCTTCTTTCTGCAAATATATTTCATCCATCAGTAGCACAACATCTTTACCAATTTTATCTTGGATTAATAAACATTTTATAGATTTTAATGGTTCTACCCTACCTTTACTAATTTTTTTCAAAAGACTAAATGATGGTAGAGGAAACTGTTCTAATAAGACTTTATAAGCCTGCGCTGATGTATATCGAAGAATAAGGGAATATCGTAAAAGATTTGACGAAAACTTTGGCTGATCAACTGGTTTGTTGTATTTTATTTCATTGAGTTCAGTTATTAAACCATTTGACAAACTATTTTCTTCAACGTAAATTTTTATATAGGCTGGAAAATTTTTTTTTTTTTTTTTACCTGCTTCTATTCCCCGAATTGGTTTCTATTGACTGTTGGACGTAATAAAAACGGGTTTTTAAAAACCCCATTAAGTTGTAAGAAATGGAGTTTTTACCAACTTTTTAAACCGCGTGTTATTTTTATACTATCAAAATTGTTGATTTCGTATTTCACTATTAACTAACCTACTAAATTTTTTTAAATCTTTTGAAAAATATATATCAATAAATTTTTTTAATGTTTAGTGATATGATAAAGTTTTGGAGCGCTCTTTCATTATATGGCTATTATGAGGGGAAAAGGTGTGCGTTTCGTGTGGCTTATGATTGTCAAAAAATAAATCATTAGAAGGTTTTGAAGAAAGAAGACATAAAATTTTCTTTTTTAATTTTTTTTTTTTTAGTTGTAAAATTACTTTTTTTTGTTGATATTTTAAAAAATTTTCTTGTGTTAAAATACGTTGTTTCAAAATATTTTCGATAAATTTTCAATTTGTTTTTCATTAGCTAAGGCTAATGCTGACATGTTGCAGTACCTGATTTTTTTTTTGATTTTTGGGATAAGTTACTTAAGCAGCCATGACACAGTGGTTAGAGTTCTGGTTCAGAACCAAGAGGTTCGATGACACCGGCTGTTGTCAGATAAACGATATTAATTAAATATCGTTAAATGCTTATCCGCAGTGCTCTGTGATAAAACCGTTGGGTCTTTTAAGAGCACTAACTAATTTTAAAAATGCTCTATATTATTTAAACAAATTTTCCTGAACAAAAACCTGATAATAAAAAACGTCTTTACTTTCAGTAAATAGATAAGCAATGTCCATACTAAAAAGCGTTTGTTAGAAAATCAAAGATGTTATGAAAGGTTGAACAAAAGATAAAGAAAAAACAGTGTTTCTCGTTAAAAAAAACAATATAAACGTTTAAAAATAAAAATTATATCTTAAAAGATAAATAAAGTAGAGAAGTAACAAAAGGAAATCAAGGAATTTTTAACGAGCGCTAGTTAATTTGTTAACTATGTTCGCAACCAAGTTTCTGTTTCCTATTAATGGTCAGCCGTAGCTAAGTGGTTTGCGCGCTTGCCTTACAAGGTAGAGATCCGTGGTTTAACGCCGCTTCTGGGCAAGTTTTAAAACACTGGTATGGAAGGAGGCGTGAACTTTCTTTCGAATACCCTTCCGTGGTGCTCTGTGATAAGAATGTAATGCTTTTTTGAAGCACCATTTTTTGAATTAAGAAAACCACACATCTTTTTAATTAAAAAAATTAAACTTAACTTAATTCATCTTTCTGTGTCATTGAATTCTGATTATAATTAAAATGGAAAACTTTTAAAGCGCCATAACACGCCCTACGTTGATGTACTACTTGGGATAACATTTTAAATTCATACATTAATTCGTCACAAAAAGCTTCATATTTCTCCTGTTCAATCCTCTTAAAAGTTAGGCTTTTTTCAGTTATTAGTAAGCCAAAAAAACAGATTTTCATTGCAGCGTGCTAATCAATATAACGGTTAGTTAGATGTCAAAATGTAATTGAATTTGCTAGTTAAATTCAGTCTAAAACTTTGTGTGTAAGTTATTTCGCCATTAAAGAATGTTTACATACCATATATCGATATTAATGGTTGGAGCAAGAAGAAGGCACATTTTGCCTTATCGGCGAGCCGCATATGTAAAAAAATATATATATAACCGTAACAAATATATATAAATAAGATAGTAACTTCGTTCTTAAATTCCTTTTAAAGTTTTAACTTTCTTTTAAAAAGCTTAAATCTAATAAATTAGTTGGTCATGATGATATTTTTGTTATTATCTATTCTTTGATTAAAGATATTCTTTTTCGAGCAGTGGTAGCGCACTTGCCTCAGAAACAAAGGATCCGTGGTTTAAACCCAACTCTAGCCAAGTTTTGCGACATCGGTTAGGAAGGAGGCGTGAACTTCCAATTAAATGCTCATCCGCAGTGCTCTGTGATAAGACTGGAAGGACTTTTTAAGGAAATCTAAACAAAATTAAAAAAAAAATTCAAGTTTTATCTTCAATAAAACTGGGTATTTTTCCCAACAATCTAAAAATAGTCAGAGTTTCATATTTAAAGGGGGTGATGCAACCAATCAATGGCGTAACTATAAATTTGCCCCCTCCCCCCGCCAAAAAAGTAAAAGCCCCTCCTTAAATTTTTTCTTAAAATTATAAATATATTTAAGAATGAAATTACAAATTTTTAGACGTCAACTAAAAGTTTTTTCAACGTTTAGAAATTCTAAATTAGAATGTAACTTTATAAAAAAAATGTCTGTAGGGATACGTAAAATATTATAAATTCATAAAATGTATTTGATAAAACAGAAATTAGTAACACTCATATTATTATTACTAGTCATATTATTCATATGAGTAAAATTTGTAAATCTCCGCGGGGCCCTCTAAGCTCCGCCCCCCCCCCCCGCCTTGCGGGGCTATGTTCCCCCTAGGCCACTGCCACTGCAACCAATGTTTCAAATTATCTCCCAATCTCAATTTTGCCTGTTTTTTTTTTTTTAATTTTAGAGAGAATTATATATAATGTAATTTTCAACCATTTATCTTCAAATAATATACTGTATCATAATCAATACGGATTTTTAAAAAGTAATTAAACTGAACACACTATACTCCAAATTACCTCCAATATTGCTGAATCTTTTGAAAAATCAAAATAGACGTTAAGTTTTTTCATAGATTTATCAAAAACATTTGATACTATTGACCACAAAATCCTATTTTAAAAAATAGACCCAACGGGCATTTATTTTTAAAAGTTACGTTCTAAATGTATTTTAAACGTTTTTTAAACGATTTTTAAACGTTCGTTACGTAAGAATGTTTAGAAGACGTTTAAAAATATTTAAAATACATTTAGAACGTAAATTTTAAAGACAAATGTCTGCTGGGGAGTATTATAGAATTAAAGTAAATTATTTAATGATATTTAAAAGTTATTTAAGCAACCGTAAACAGTTAATAAATATAACATGTGGGGTCTCTCAAGATTCTTTACTAGGACCTCTTCTCTTTCTAATTTATATTGATGATCTCCCTAAAGACTCAAATTTAGTGACGGTCACGCTTGCCGATGATACTAATCTCTTTTTATCTCATAACAGCATTATTCCAAAATATGAACATTGAATTAGCAAAAGTTTCTGGCTGGTTTAAAATAAATAAGCTGTCACTAAATGTTGAGAAATCTAAATGGATACTTTTTCATCAAACTTCAAAAAAAAAGCTACTGCCTCCTGTCATGCCCTTACTTTTATTGACAAAATTCAAATAAAAAGAGAACTAACTAACTTTTTAGGAATCAATATTGATGAAAACATTAATTGGAAGTATCTAGAGCTGCTACTTTTAACGTTTTCAAGTTCGAACGTTTGAACTTTTTCGCAAAAATTTCAACGTTCAAGTTCGAACTTTTTTCTCCTAATAGTTCGAACTTTTAAATTTTAAAAAATGGTATGCCTTTTCATTAATTTTTGTAAAACAAGCTGAAATATAATTAAAATTTATGAATTTGAATATTTTTTATTAAATTATATGATTTTCAAACGGTATGATCTCGTGAAAGGGCTTGGATTGTTTTTGTATAGAAAAAGAAACTAGTTGCAGGATGATACCTTGCGTTTACTTTTTATAAACAAATAAAAAGTCTTTATAAATAAATTAACAATTTTGTACTCTTTTTATTTGTACTCTTTTGTTTTCAATTTCAAACAAATAAAAACTATTTAAAAAGTTCGAAAAAGTTCGAACTTTTTTCCTTAATAATTCGAAAGTGTTCGAGTTTGAACTTTTTAAAAAAAGTTCAAATTGGCAGCCCTAGAAGTATCACATTGATTTGTTGTGCAACAAAGTTGCTCGAAATATAAGAGTAATGCACAAGGCTAGAAATGCTTTGAACAAACACCGTTTAACACAACTATATTTCTCTTTAATCCATCACCATATCAATTATGCAAATATTAATCGGGGTAATACCAATAAATCTAAACTGCTACCTCTTTATCGTCAGTAGAAGCATGTTGCTAGTCTTATCAATTAAAAGATTGATTTGCTCATGCCAAACCATTATTATTTCAAATGAAAATTCTTAATATTTATCAGCTGAATATTTACGAGCGGTTCTCGATAATAAGACCTGAAGGTCTTTTGCAAGTCTCCGCGTTCTTTTTTTTGTTTTTATTTTTATACCTGTATCCTGTATACTTTGTTATATTTTTTTATTGTATAACAATTTTTATCTTAACTATCTTATCGTATAAATTTATTGAATATTTAAAAAAAGAACAAAAAAATTAAAAAAAAAACTAAAATAAATAAAATAAAATAATAAGATAGTAACATATCAAATAAACATCAGAATTATAACAGAAAATAACTAAGAAAATAAAGAAGTTCAAAATAGCAAATAATTAAGAAATGTTAAAATTCTTAATAAGCATTCAACAAAGTTATTATCTGAAAACTTTGTTAAATGCTTAAGATTGATTTTATTAAAATAAGTTTGAAAGATTTTTGGGGACAATCTCATTTTGTTTAAAGCTTAAACAATAAAACTTGGTAAACAATTGAGTTTACAAACATTTAAAACACCAAGCACACGTAAAAGCAGTTTGCAGGGAGCATTTTTATAGGCTCCAGACACTAATCTGCACTTAAATTATAACATTTAAATGTTGGTCTGCAATTTATTTCTTAGATGAAATAAATAGAACTTTAAGAGACTAAACAAAAAATTAGGTAATATTATTCTATTAGATTAATTTAAATCGAGAATAAACAAACAAAACAGAAATTACAATAGAAAAAAAATAAGATGACCATTTTATATATTTTGGTTTAACAAGATCTTGTTAAACAATGTGTCTAGACACATTGTTCGAATAATGTGTCTCACTGCGATCTTTCTTTTGACTTACTAAGTAAATTTTTGAGTTGTCTGTATTTTATTATTCGGTCTTACTTTTATTAGACTTTTCATTCCGGCTGAATTCAGTCAAATCTGGTTTAAGTCTATTTCGCCGTTGAGAAGGCGTTGGCGAAGCAGCAGATACAAAAGAGTTTCTCTATCTTTGACAAAACGGGAAATTGGCATAAGTTATTTTTATAAAATGCAAGGGGACAGGAATTTTTCGATGCTTTTATATTCATATTTTAATAATTGATGATTTCGTTTTCTACTGATAACAAATCTTCTGATGACACTGTTTCATCGCATAACAATATTTGTCTTTGATTTTGGTGGACTTCTTTGACTAGATGACGACTCTTGGCTAGACAACTGAAGGCTTGTTGGTGTTAGCTGCAATTCATGGCTCAATTGAAGAATGAGCTTTTTTAATACAAGAAATTTTCGCTGTTTTGCTCGATAAAAATTTAAAATTATGAAATCGCGGATCTAAAT